CTATTTATTTACTCAATAAATAACTGACTGACTTATCAATATTTTGAAAAAAACAAAACAAAAAAATATTTTATGATAATAGAAAATTTGTTTCTATTTTACTATAACTGGTTCCTTATTCGTACATAAATTTGAAAAGACGCAAAAAAAAAAATTTCCAATATCTAACACTTTTAGTTTTATTATTTTTTACTAAAATTCCTAACAAATTCTTAAAAAATTATTTTAAAATTTTAATATTTTAAATACGCAAAAAATATTCTATAAAAATATTTATTCGCGAAACAAAAGATGGCGAAATTTTATTGGAACACCTATTGATCAACCAAAAATTTTAAAAATATTAGGGAAAATACAAAATTAAATAGAATTTTATAATAAACTCACTTACATAGTTAAAATTAATTTAAACAGTTATTAAACAGTAATTTAATAAATAAAATGGTGAATTTCAAAGATAATTTAAATTTCACCATATCTCTTAAATGATGAATATTAATAAAGCTATTCAGAATGTCAAAATTGTGAATGATATGTCAAGTTTTTGATTTAATAATGTTACTGAATCAAACTTTATTAAGTAATATTTTAAATTGTTCAATAAAAATGAAATTAATTAAAAAAAAAATTAAATTTCTATTTCAAGTTTTATTTTTCATTTTGTATTTCGCCCAAAAATAAAACCAAAAATAATAAACAACACTTTTTTTTATTAATATTAGTCATCACTCTCATCACTCTTTCCAGACAACTTGAAATTAAATATATATGTATACACAAATGATAAATTTATAACTACACAATATAAGTAATATAAATATTGTGCATATGTGTGTAATCATGTACTTAATTTGCGTTTTAAATTATTTTTTTTACACAGACAACTTCCAATGTCAACGACTATAACAAAAATGAAAAAAAAAAATTAAAAATTAAAAAACAAATGTTTTTTTTTTTTATTTTGTGTTTAGATTATGAATTATGATACACAAATTGTGATAAATTTCATTTAATTTGTACACGTTAATAATGAAATTTTTTTCTAATTTTACACAACAGCCACACAATAATAATATATGTACTTAATTCAATAATTAAAAAATAAATTTCGCAATATTGAATAATACTTTATATTTCAACCAATATTCTTATTGAATTAGACAACTTCTTGGGACATCAATATTCATTTTATTAAATTAATCTAAAATTAATATTTACTAATTACCCGTAAACACTTGTAAAATCACTTATAAAAGTTACATGGGCAAACAATTAGTTAATAAAAATAATCAATTCATATTATTAACCTACAAATCGGGTTCCGATTACATTTGACTTGTTTATAATGAAGTACATTCCTTTATCACAATGTGGCGCTTTCTCTATTCGCTTATGGCGCTTAAATTTTGTAGATTTTTCAATGGAAATTATTTGCGCGCTACTTTACTATACTTCTTTTTCCTTTATACACGATAAAATTAATGAAACAAAAAAAAAAGAAAAATAAAAAAAAATCAAATAAAAAAAAGCTTTTACTTTCATTGATTATTAGAGATCGCGCAAATAACAATGCTTTTACTTTGTGTAATGTTTATGTAAACAATAATAATAACAAAAAAACTCTAATAAATATTTACAATCACTTTTATAATAATATTACAAATTTTTACTATTATCACACAATCTTTTTTAACATATATACATATATTGTATACTGAGAGAGTTAATCAAATTAATATCATATGTAAAAAAAAAACCAATAAGATTTTATATGACATGAATTAAAAGAAATATGAAAAAATATTCAAAGACCTTAATTACTAAAATTTTAACATTGTATTTATAGCCTTGACCGCGTGTTTTTATAGTAAGATTTAAAATAATTAAACCGGCATTTTACTTTATTGTAAAATTGTAAATTGTACTATGCAAATTTTTAGAAACAATTAAAATTTTAAATTAAAAATTTAACACCTCAATTTTTATTTGAACATTTTTCTATTGCTAATCATTAAAAATTCCAATTAAGTATGTACTTTTATACTATATTTGTTAGTCACATTCATTTATAACGTAAGTATGCTTAAATAATTTTAATGAGCGTCATAGAAATGTAAATTAAATGTGAAATTGCGAAATGCAGACGGTTACATAAAATTTTATTTCATGAACTACAACAAATAATACATTTTTCAAGAAACAGCATTTTACTCAATTATTTTGAAAAGAATGTACTTAGATTTTTTCGAGTTAAGAATTTTAAAAATTACCACTTGGAGGAAACTACAAATTCAAATTTTTATTAAACCTATTTTTTTACAAAATTATAATATAAATTCGATTGACGATGACATACATATTTATTAAATATATAATATGACTTCTAAAATATATGCAGTAAGACAATGATTTTTCAAAATAAAAAAAAAAAACGTTTAATTAATACCTTTTGTATTTAATAAAATATTATTTTACTAATTATTCACTTAAAATATTCCTGATCATTCTCTCCTTTTATAACAAAGTTAATTATATTTTAAGTTTACGATTTCTAATATTTTTCTTACTTCCTACAGTTGAACTTCTAGATCTCGAACTATAAGAAATGTCACAAATAAATTCAAAAAATAGAGAATTCTAATTACTTACATGCGTACATACATAACATGATATCCAACAAAAATATAGTTTACTTAAAGAGAAGTCAAATCTATCGAATAAGATTTGAGTAAATAGACTTAAACTGTAATAAAAATATTAATTTATCTCATACATAAATAATATTCATAGAATTTTAATGAATCATTTAAAATTTTTACATTTACATATAGTAAATTAGTAAATTGGTAATTTTTAACAAATATTGATTATACATACATACACACATATGCAAAATTTATTCATGATTCTAATAATTTGGAAAATAAAAAAACCTTAGTAATCTTACAATTTTTTATTTTTAACTAAGAAATTATCGCAGAATTTTTCTTCCAATTTTATATAATCTGGTAATCTTTTATTTTTGTATTATCATTGCTTTATATAATATAGACACTACAATAGTAAGTACATATACATATGTACAATTATTTAGTTGTAATAGCCAGCATTTAAATGATATATGCACTTTAAAAATATTATATTGTAAAAAACTTTGAATATATTGTATATTTATATTTAAATTTATATTATATAAAATACATATATATAGTTACATATACACAAACATATACACTTTATGTAAAGAAATATTAAAAATTTTACATACTTAAATAATATTTTATAGTTACTTATTAAAAAAGTTTAATTTAAAATAAAAATAAAAATAATTTATACAAAAAAATATTTACCATATATAAAAACTACCATGTATAAATAAAATTTTTATATATACATACATTGTCTTTAGACATACATACATACATACGATTTATATATTTAATAGAATGATGAAAATTAAGAATTTTCTTTAGTCATCCTCAAGAGCCATCATATATATACATACATACATATGTATACAGAATTATATGAAAAGTAAAAAATATTGATATATATGTATATACATACGATATATATACATATGTATGTACATTATATTATATATAAAGATGAGATGGTGTAAGCGTTTGGGAATTTTACATGGCAATAACCGCTTTTTAGTTTATAAGTAATTTTATAATATTGAGAAAAATTAAAAAGCAACAAAAAAAAATAAATAAAAATACTTAAAAAAGAATTAAAGAAATAAAAATTAGAATAATAAAATATTTTTATTACATAGGATTTTTTTTAATATACATATGTATTTATGTATATAAAATATTATACATTCTTTAAATAAGTAAGAGTGTGTAACCATAAAAATATTATAGAGTAGAAATGTAAATTTTAAAAATTTGAACAAGGAAAAAAACAAAAAAAAAAAAAAATCACTTCATTGAGAATTTCATCATCGGTAGAAATTCTCTCTGACTCAAGAAAAATTATTATTTTTTTTTCATTTCTGTTATTTTATTTTGGAACATTATGTGTTATATAGAAAAATAAATTTTGCTCTTGCACTGGACCTCTTATATTAAATTATTTTTAAAAATTATGTACGTTTATAAGTTTGTATATATAATTAAGGTAAATGATAAACAATATTTTTGTCCACTATACATTGTATGTATGAACTCGTTATACTTCTTACACATAACGTAAACATATTTATCATGTAGTTATGTTTACGTTATGTGGAAGTATGTATAACAAACAAAATACGGAATTTGTAATTTACAGTGCTTCTTAAAGCAAATAATTTAGACATATATTACATACATACGTTTAATATTATTTATTTTACTTATATACAATATAAAATTTACAATAAATACAATAAATCATAAGTAATGAATTATAATTTTGAAGTAACTGTATATACATACAAAAAATATATTTTGCAGTTAAGTGTAGGTAGTAAGATTGTATATATATGGGTATACCTATTTACTATAAATATATTTATGTACCCATATTAATAATAGTATACGATGATTATGTAGGTAGATATGTAACCTAAATACATAAAATGTTATTCATAATCATTCAAAATTTTTCAATGCATATAGTAAGAAAAATTATGACATAGTATACGTAAAGTATAGTAAGTGTAGTATTCCCGTATCTATTTATATTATTGTTATTATGTATATCATATATCGAGAAAATATACATTAATATATTATGTACATATGAATACAAATATTGAAATATCTTATATTATTTTATAAATGCCAAAATGAAAAATATGTATGTATGTATGTATGTAAAATGTCAATATTATATTTTGCTTATACGTGTATGTAATACATTTGGATATAAATTATATAAATATTATAAGTACATATTCTATACGAAATTTGGTGTACCGATATAAATTTTCCTATATTTATGTTTGTATATGTGTTTATCATTCTATATAATATATATCTACTTATAATTATGTGTATTTTACTTACCGGCTTAAAATCCAACGTGTGTATATTTTTATATTATGTATATACTTATTTATATGTCGGTATAATTTGCAAGTATATAAAAATTTTCACTATTTTTTTTTATTCTTCACTTTTTATAATTTTTTTTTTTTTCAAAAAAAATGTTAAATGTTCTCATTTAATTCATTTATAATTAAAATATGAAAAGTTTATTATGTTCATATAAAAGTTATAGGTGTAGTAGCTAAGTATATAATTAAAAAAATTCAATTAAAAATATTAAAAATGTTATTCCAAAAATTTTTTTTTATAAAATAAAAAAACAAATTAATTATTGAATGCACAGATCTTGTGTAAAATAAATGTTTATTTTGTTTAAAGAAAATTCACAATTTCTTAAATTTTTTATTAAAAAGAACAAAATTAACAATTATTCCAAAATTGTAATTATTTGATTTCTATTCAAAATTTGTTATTCTCGATAGCGGTAAATTTTTAATAATATTGTTGTTGTTGCTGTTCCTTAACAATTTATATTTTATTTATGACAATTTGAATTGAATGTCAAAGTTTTTTTTATACAATGAAAATTTTTCTTGTTTTAAAATTCAATATTTAAGGTTGTTATATTTTCAGTTTTAATTTTTAATATTATTCAATCCAACTACTTTTTTCCCAAGAGTATTTTATTATTTATAATTTTAAATATAATTATTAGTAGTTAAACACTTTTAAAACGGATTCACCATTAAAATGCAAAATTCACAATTCTTCAGCTTTCTGAAACTTTTTTTTGTGTTAATTGTTGTTCAAGGAAATTATTTTTCTTTTCCTTGTGTTAATTTTTTTTATATTGTATTTTATAATCAACTTTTATTATCCTTAAAATACAAGTAAATTTTATTTAATTTTTATTAATAATGATTAATTATACTTCAAATTTTTTTTATTTATTAATTGATAATAAATGTATATTAATAAATTTTTGTTTTTTATATTTAAAAAATTTTAATTTTTTACACTTTAAATAATTTTTATTATTAATAATTTTTGTATTTTTATTATTATTATTTGTATTAATTGTATAAAAACACTTGTTTTTGTAATTATTATTATAATTAAAATTATTATTTATTTTATGATAATTATTATTATTATAATTAGAATATAATAACGTATTTTTATAATTATTATCAATAGAATTAAAAATAGTATTTATAATAATATTTTTTTTATGATTAATAATAACAGTTTTTGCAAAAATAAATTGAAATTTAACACTAGAAATAACTGGTGCAGTAGGCATGACACACAACTATACAACTGATATACACCTAAATTCAATTAGGTTTAAGAAAAAAATAAAAATTTAATTTTTCTAAGAATTACAAATTTTTATTTTATTTTCTTTTTTTGTTTTATTTATACACTTGTATATTTTATATAATATTTATGTGTGTGTTTATATATATTGTGTATATATACAATTTGTTCTTATTATAATTTTCTTTTTTTTTTCTTTTTTTTATATAATGTAATATTATATTTATGTAGGTACCTATATATATATATATGTTTATATGTATATAGTTGAATATTATTTTCTTTTCTATATATTTTATTTGTTATACATTTAATATGTACAGTATATAGTATGTAGTTATTTAAGTACAGTTAATTAATATATTTGATTATATATAATATGTATGTAGTACGCATTTATTCAAAAAAAAATGAAAGAAAAACATTTAAAAATTAAATTCTCCTTTTTTTATTCACAAATTTTTGCTTATAATTTTTAATAAACAATTTATTTTATGTTAACCACTTCCGTTTGTTTTTTATATTTAAAAAAAAAAAAAAATATTTTTGCTTCAATTATTTTCTTTTTTATATCAAATTATTTTTATAAATTTTATATGTAGCTATGTACATATGTATGTATAGCTTTTTATTTATAATCTAAAATGTGTGTAAAATGCAAAAAAATTTTTTATTCCATTAATTAGATTTAAAAATTATTGGGGTTTTCTACCACATACACTTTTTTATTATATTTTGTAATATTCAAAATTTATGTATATTTTTTCTTTTTTTTTTTTGACTAAATAAACGGCGACAGTAGTGACGACGACAGCTTTCAAGGAACCACTTTAAAGACAAAATCTTTTTTTTCCAAAGAAAAAAAATTCCTATTTCCTTTTTTATTTTTAAGTAGATTTCTTTTATATACGCGTAGTAAAAATGTAAAATTTTTTCCAAATTTAATTATCAGCAAAATGATTTTCTATTTTTTAAATAGAAAATATTATTATTAAAAAAAAATTCTATTTCGAATTTTTTTTCTACTTTCCGCTTCTATTCTTAGTCAACACAATTCAACTCACCCTTAAGAAGACTTAAAAAACTTTAATTAAAAACTTTTTTTTTTTTACTTTTTGTATATTTGGAGGATGATGTTAATTTATATAAAATTTGCAGGGGAAAAAAAATTTTTTTATGTAGCTCTATATTTGCCTTATTAAATTTTCTTTTTTTTTCCTCTCCTTGATTTTGCTTGGTAGTGTCTTATCAAGCTGCGGTCTAAAGAGCAACTGAATAAATTTTCTTATTTCTTTGAAATTAAAAATTAAAGTTACGATTTTTTTTTGTTATTTTTCTTTTCGTTTTTCTGTTTTCGTTTTCGTTTTTTTTTTTTATTGATGTGTAGTACGGTAAAGTGCTGATTTTCTTCTACAATATTTTGTTATACTTGTATATATTTATATATGTAGTTAGGTATGAAGGTATATCTATTTTGTATTTTGTATATTCGTGGCATTTATTAATTTGTGTATATATGTAAATGTAGAAGTACATATATGTATATTTAAATAATATATAAAATGTATGTAGAAAAGTATGTACATCCCTATATATTTTTATAAAAGTATTTTTGTTATTAAAACAAAATTCTCCTCTGTCTCTAATCAAACATACACAATTACATAGTTAGTTCATAAACGAAAGGGAATAACAAAAAAAAAACAAAAGAAAAAAAAAAATGAAAAAAAAAGTTGTACAATAATGTAGTATAGAATTGCCTTTTAAATGCTTGTTTAGCTTGTTTTTTTTTTCTTGTTAGCCTGTGTAGTTTTGTTGCTATTGCCTTGCTGCTAATATACTGTACCAGTTTGCTATACTGTGGCTACCAAAATGAAGCGAAAGAAACAAATATTTTCTCTTATTTTATTTCTATTATAAAAAACATGTATAAATGTTTGTGTATGCAAAAGCACATCTATTTCAAATTTCAATTATCTCTCTATCTCTTCTCTTCTCTTTTAATGTTAACGAATATATAGTAAGAGTAGTATCAACGTTATGTATAATCAGAAAATATAAAGTCTGCAAAAGCAACAAAACGACAAAATATGAAATTGAAAAAATTAAAAAAATTTCTTTACTATACAAAAATTTTATACTGTTTTTTTTTTGGTTTAAATGTGTAAGTCAATATGGTATAAATGTATAGGTACATAAAAATTTATAAAAAAAAATATTAGGAATTAGTGTTGCCATTTTCATAATTTAGATGTAGAAGGTCAATTTTATAATGATATAAGAGTAATGTTTGGTTCTTTATACATACAAATTATGTATTGAATATGTTAAAGTTTTTTCAATTATAAAATAAATTATGGTTGAATATTAGTTCTAGAATTTTCATTCCGTTAGTGTATGAAGTCGTAAACCTATTCTCAAACAACTGAAACAAGAAAATTACAAAATAAACATTTCTCAATAAAAACTTTTTATAATTTAAATATGTATTAAGAAACTTGTAATGAGGTATTGCATTAATTAGGTTTTTTTTCCCTGTAACAGAATTTCCATCCAGAACAGTGTTCCATTTACAAACCACCTTTAATTACTTCAGATTCATTTGAGTTGTAATATTCTTGCAAAAGAAATGAACTAAAGGTTGCTTGCAGCGTATAATTTCAGATTAAATTTCAGAATTAATTTAATATTGTAGTATGGGGCATATATTTTATTCTTGATGGTAATACTAATTTTACTTTGTATACTTCAATACAAAAGCATATAAATATGAAAAAAATAATGGATATACTAAATATAATATACATACATACGTACATACATATATAATATACATACGTACATACATATGTATATATTTTTACTGCTGTGAGGTAGATATTTCATTAAAATAAAATGTAGAGTATGTATATTATTGTGTAGCGATATTAATCGTTATTACTTATTTATTAGTATTTTGTATTTTATATGCCGGTTGATTGCCGGTTGCCGGTTTTTTTCTTTGCTTTGCACACAATAATTTATTACATACACATTTGTACAGCATTTTACAAAATATACATACATTATGCAGATATTGAGTACTCCAGATATTTATGTGGTACTGTACATTATTTTTCTCTTATTTTTTTTACATAAAACGAGAAATTTCGAATTTCTTATTTTTGTTTGGGAACATTTTAAAATATTTGTGTAAAATAAAAATTCCATGCAATTTCATTTAATTTTCTTTAAAAATATTAATTTAATACACGTAATATATGTACGTATGTATGCATGTAGTAATATACATAAGTATAATATTATAAAAATATTAAACTAAATAAAAATAAACATACTAAGTATGCTTGTAAGCAGGTATCAAGGCTGCAATAACCGTGAGTGTTTTAACATACAGTGAGTATGTAAGAAACTTCTCACCACAGAATTTTTCTGTTTGTCTATTAAAAAAAGTTGTTCATTGCTGTTTTTAACAAACATGGGATTTCAACAAAATTAATTCACATAACTGAAATTTGATTAAATTATCTTTTCCTTTGTAATTAATAATTTTAAAATTTTCATTTTCAAATCCACTTTGGAAGCCGAAAATATTGTTGGAACAGTTTTTTTCATAGTAAAATGTACTTTACACTAGTATAAAAACAATTCGAACTGCCACAAAACATTTCAAATTAAATGAATTGCTAAGAAATTTTGTTAAGTTTCCTACAAAATGTATGATTTCGAAAAGAAGCAAAATGTGTTGAGCTCAACTTAAATTTTTATTTTTTTAGTAAATTTTTGTGTAACAATCAACTTACTATTGTTATAAAAATCTCAATTCTAAAGAAAAAGTAGGATTATTAGAATAATTTGGTTTGAATTTACAAAATTTAGACCAAACTTGCATAATTTATTATTACCATAAAAAATTTTGTAAAACAATCACTTCATATCAAAAATATACAAACATATTTTTATGGAAAATTGTCTAGATTTTTTACATTTTGTTATACTAAATATTTTAATTAAAACCTTTGAATAATGTCTAGGAAAACTGCTTCTTAGTTTATTTTTCTAACTTCACTATTTTAACAAGCAATAAAATTAAATAATAAAAGAAGAAAAATGTTTTAAGTTATAAAATAAAAGAATCATAAAATTCTTAAGTTTGTTACCAGTTTAGCCCATAAAATAACATTTATAAAAAAAATAATTTCTTTTACCACATAAAATTCTTTAGAACACTTAAAAGTTTAAGAAGTATGTATGTATTTAAGAAATTTTCAAGATTAACATTACAGGTACGTTTATGAATTATTTTTTATTAAAACAGATGTTAAATTCTATTAAAGAGTTTACCTTTCATTATAAATACAAGAATTTTATTAAATTCTAATGTTAAAAGCAGACGCAAATATATACATACTTACATACACGTGTCTTATATTGTTTGGTTTTTAGATCACACATGAAAGTGAAAATTAAAGCGTTGTTAAAAATTATAACGAAATTAGTTCCCACCATTTGGTTAATTGCAACCAGCATAATCAAAAATTGTGTGGCCGTTTACGTCTCAAATTAACATTTCCGAATCAAAATTAACATT